TGGCCTATACAATGACTTGCGGGGGCCAGCCGATGTACAAGTCAGTGTTTTTATCCTCCCAGACAAGTCTGGTACCAATTAACCGACCCCGGAGGGATGGAAGGCTTGGTTGGCCCGGGCGACTCACGACCCAGGATTTGATCCCGGACCGCTCGCGTGGTAAGCGTGCCACTTGCCACTACACCACTTCCGCCCTTACGCATAAGTACTTTTTAAAAAATAAAATCACGTATGCTGAAGGGGGGCACCTCCAACTCAGAAGGCCATTAATATTCATTCGAACGCCGACATCTTTGGAAGCTGTGAAAAGGTAGAAACTTCAGAGATATTTCCTATCAAAAGCCATAAACGTCGTTGATCGGTCATTTTTCGAAAAATTGTCCCGTTCGCAAATTTCCCGTGCAAAGGCGAGTTCATTTTTGAGGCTCACTTTTTGCTTGGAAGAAAGCACAAGATGTGCTCTTTCTAATATGCACCAAACCGTTTTTCAGTGTTCGTCTTCCAAAAAAATCACGCTTCGCACATTTTTCTATAAGTTTTGCAGCTTATTCAAGCAATAACAACTTCCTTTCAAGAGGTTGTTGAGCGAAGATATTTTTGAAGACTACGAGATTTCTACTTCCTTATGGTATCCCAAATTTCTCTGGAAGAAGCGTTCCCAAAAAACTAGGTCCCTAAAGAGCTTTATTTAGCATCGTGAAGGTCAAGCCGTTTCATAGCCATGCATCAGTTGGTATCTTTATTTCGTGATGATGCATCGTTGAGATATTTAAAGGCAGCGGTTACGCTAGGTTTAAATGTGGTTTGGAGGGGACGAGGGGGTCCTCAATAGTACATCAGTGGCGAAAAAAGCAAAGAAATCCGTCAAAAATAAGCAAAATAGTGCCCCTTTGATTGCCCTTTCATTTTCGATCATGGATGAGCGACGGTAAAGACTGACGTTGTTCGGACGTGTTAACCCCGATAGCCGCCATCATGCCAACAAGCATAGTGTTTTGATTGATAAGGCATAACATGGGCAAGATGGAAGATACAGCCGCTAGATGGGAAAAGATCATCCAAAATGAAAAGCCAACAGCAATCAGTCCATCCAGATCATCAACAAAACCAGTGGGCGGGGCGGCGCATGGGGCGGAAGGGCGCAATGGTCCTGCTCAGCAACCACAGCACTGTTCGCAGTGGAAGCGCCACACATCGCTTCCTTGGCGGCCTGCTAATTGCTCTGTGGGGAGCAGGTTCTCCGCAGATGTGAAAATTCCTTTCCGTACCTACTTCCTTTAATGTACCTTTGTTGCATAATAACTGAATCTAATGCGGTCTGCACAAGCAAAGTCTTGCCCTCGGATACGCCACGCACGCGCCTGTGGCTGGCATTTGGAAGTCTATTTCATCCCTATGACCCGGACTTGCTCAGTTTTTGGCACTGCTACCACGCTCTGATGCGACGAAGCGAGCTCTCCCTAGAAAGCTTTGCTGAAGACAGAAAGATTTTTACGATGTATAGTAATTCACGCGGAGAAACACTTCAGGACGAAACGGCGAGCCTGGAAAGAATAATTATTTTGAGTTTATGACAACTTCATGTTCTTTGTGAGCGTTCCTCCCCAGTCCTTCATCCACCGATCAACTACCGTCGCGATTTCGGTTGCGAAACCTTGAAATGGCGACACCCTCCTTCAAGCTGTAACCAAAATGCGACCCCTCGTTCGAATAGTGTTAACGGACGCTGACTCCTGGCCTCAACACCGTTGAAAGTGGCGGGACTCCTTCTAGTTTGCATTTTCACGTTCTCGCACTTTCCCGAGCTCTCACACCCTCTCACTCTCTCATGCCCTCATGAGCCCGGGAAAGTGGCGAGAGCCAAAGTTCAAAGGAAGTTCTGCCACTTTCGAACCGTGTCGAGTCGCTGGTACATCGTTCGATCCGGTGGATAGTTCGAAATGCTGGTGTAACGCTCGTATCCCACGATTCGCTAGCGAACCGCTGGATTCGCAAAGTCTGACACCGGCTTCTCATAGTTTGCGGTCCGTACGGTCCATCCGCACGGCCTCTGGCGCACGATGCGTACTTGGCGCGCAGTCGGCGGCTTCGATCGATAAATTCGGTTTCATTACATTCTATTTTTGTTTTTCAGGTGTTCCACGTGCCGTGTTGCTTTTGCTCGTGTTTTTTGGCAAATTTTTTTTTGTGTGAATCATTGCTTTTCAACTGTCCTAGAATGGTTAGGTTCATACAGTGTTTGAAAGTGGCAGTAAGCCCCAAGTGAGTTCATTAGTAAGCAAAAGCAGTAATCCATACAAAAAAGAAAAGTTTTGAGCTAAACAACCGCAAGAAAAAGCAAAACGGCACACAAAACGTCAAAATATAGAAAAAATGTATCGAAATTAGGATTATCGATCGAGGGAGGCGACTGCGCGCCAAGTACGCATCGTGCGCCAGAGCGCGTGTTGACGTTTTTCACCCTGTCCGCGCGGACCGCACGGACCGCAAACTATGAAAGCAGCCTTAGGTGGCTGCCAGACTCGGCGGCTGTGCAATCGCCGGTGTTCTGGCGCGGTGCCAGTCATGAGTCATGAGTGGGGCCGTTCTTCGTTATCGATCCGTACGATTTGCACTGGGCGCCCCTCCCCACTCGTGACTCTGGTATGCGCTTGCGCGGCGATTGCATAACTGCCGTTTCTGACATCTACCTTATGACCAACAAGCAAAAGCTGAACTTATTGTCACGCACTCCACGGAAATCCCGTGACGACTGTCGTTGAATGCCCATGGGATATATTCGCAGAGATTTGCTCCTTTTTAAGTGACTTTGCGAACGTATACCTAATGTTTTTAATAAGAGTGTCATTTGTTTGGTCGTTCAATAGACTGTATAAGAACGGGGTGTGGTTCGCTAGGACAGGAAGCCACTTTTCCGCTTTTCGCAAGCGGAACTTGGGTCTATTCCAGTTAGGGGGGGGGCATTATGATGCAGTTTTTCCAGAAAGCTAAGGCAACTCTGAGCCAGGGGGAGTGTAGCCAGCCTAGGGGGGTGGGGGGTGAGGGCAGTCACTTGACATGCGTGAAAAGCTGTGATTATGTTCTAGTTCGCCCAGAAACTGCATCATGATGCCTCCTTAACTGTAATAGACCCGGGACTTTTTTCGCCGGCGGTGATTCCCGTGGCCGACTCAGTGATAAATTGAGTGGACCTAGGTTCTCGCCAGTCGAAATAAGCTTCGATATGAGAAGCGCAAAAGTCGTTTCGCGAGTGAACACGACACCCTTTCTCCATACGTCTATTTGGCCAAACAAATGACACTTTCAATAAAAACATTAAGATACGTTTGCAAACCACTTAAAAAGAAGCAAATCTCTTCCAACATATCTCATGGGCATTCATCGACAGCTGTCAAGAATTGCAGTAGTAAGACTAAGCAAAACCGTCGGCGCTATGTGCCTCGGGGGGGGGGGGGGCAGTCACCGCGCGCGGCTGTGCGGCAACAGGAAATTCGAACATTCCAGCTTCTCACGCATGTCATGTGACTGCCCTCACCCCCAACCCCCTGAATTGGCTACACTCCCCCTGGCTCACGAATTTCCTGTTGCCGCAAGAGCGCGCGCGGCGACTGCCCCCCCCCGAGGCACATTTGCGCCAAATTGCTTCACTTTGCATTCCTGGCTCCTTCTGGCGTACTTTATGTATTGTATTGGAAAGCGAATCCGTTGTGCATCACAAATTATAATTTCGGACTAAGTGTAGTGAAGGATTAGAGGAGCGGGGGGGGGGGGAGGTGCATTGCCGGGCGGCATCGAGTAGTTCTCTCGGCAAACATTACCGATTTTTTTTCGAGATGTTGAAAGAAGGAACATTTAACCAGCTATGTGGTGGTATGAAACCAATGTTTGCGTTGGTTTGAACGCTGGAAATTTCGCGCAACGACGCGACCCTTCTCTCCCCCCCCCCCGCCCCCCCCCAAACTATACACTTCGACTCCGCAATGGTAGTCTAGTTCAGCCTTTTCGAAAGAGTACCACATTTGGTTGAACTTTGCAATTTTGTAGCGGTGCCAGTGATTTTCTGATCGCTTGTCTCCTCTCTCCACTGTTATCAAATGTCTCGCCTTATCGGAGCGGTCAGTTTTGCTCTCATTATCATCGCTCTAATGACCATACGGAAAATACTTGCTCTGCTCCTATTTTGCCTATTGATCCGCACTTCAACGTTTGAAGTAATCGACTTGGGAGGCCAATGGATTTATTACTCAACTAACAAAAGTGTTCATGGTCAAGGTAGGTGGATTACAACCTTTCTTGGAGCAGTTGGTTTTCATTTCAGAACTTACAATAGGTTCTCTAACTTTTGCCCCGTTATTCCTCCATTTTCCAAGCTTTCTGAGCAGTAACTATAAAACCTGTTAAGGTCTTGTTCCCGGTGATATCTATTCTGATTTACATCGTTCGGGAGTAATTCCGGACCCTTTGTTTGCTGACAACCATCTGCATTTGTCATGGATTGCCGCAGATAACTGGACGTATGCCAAATCATTTTGTGTCGACCAATCAATACTTGAGGTAATTGAATTATGTTTTAGTCTTCTCTGAACTTGCTCGGAACTCAATCAATTGCTCTCATTGTTTCAATTGTTCCCGTGATAGCATTCATTTTTTAGTACAAAAGGACACTTTTGATCTTGAGAGGAGTTGACACCATATCGACAGTGGTTTTGAATGGTGACACATTGTTGAATACGACTAATCAATTTGTGACATATTCCGCCGACTTGTTTGGAATCCTCAAAAAATGTAACACCATTGAAATACGATTTACTTCACCTGTGTTGTACGCCAAACAGAAATCGTCTGAATATCATGTGAGTTTTTGCTTTTCATTACCTGAAGTGCTCGTTCCCAAATTGTTTTTAAGATTGATGGTAATCATTGAATTCCGTTCTGAAGTTTGATTTCGTTAGTGTAATGTAGGTGCAGTCGCATTTAATGTTTGGAGAGCGAACATACCATGAGTCGCGTGCTATCCTTCCCCTTACGTTCCGCAACGCCCGAGAAACCCCGTTCCAGATTGCCTCCCTATAGGAAGTTAGCAATAGGGACACAGAGGGATAGCCCTATCCACTAAAACAACACATCCAAGCATTCCAAAGCTGTTAATAAGAATTCTCCACCGACTATACTCGTTAAACGATGATCCTCATCCATGGTCGAACGTCAAGAAGACCAATTTTCTAAGCTGGAGAAGCTACAGGACTATGGGTGGACAAACATGGGGAAAGCATCGAGAGTAGAGGGCTTCCAATACCTGGGGCGATCTAGCCGCCGACGGTAGTGTGGATCAGGCAGTGAAGGCACGGATCAACGCGGCATGGATGAAATGGAGGGAGTCCACTGGAATCCTCTGCGATCGAAGGTGCTCCAGAACGCTCAAAGGGAAGGTGTCGGACAGTGGTAAGGCCTGCGATGCTATACGGCAGCGAGTGCTGGCCCCTGAACAAGAATCACGAAAGGCAGCTTCACTCCGCTGAGATGAGGATGCTGAGATGGGCCTGCGGCTGGACGCGGCTGGACAGGGTAGAAACGAGGATGTCAGAGCGGTCATGCAGACTGCCCCTGTCCAACTGAAGGATGCGAGAACAGCGTCTGCGATGGTATGGACATGTGCAGGGTCACCTTGTAAAAGAAACCGATGGACTTCGAAATCTAGGGCAAGCGAAACGAGGAGCCCGAAGAAGAAGTGGGGGACGTCGTCAAGAAGGACCTCAGTGAAGTCAGGGCCACGGCAGAAGATGCCCTGGACAGAGCAAAGTGGCGACGACTGACAAACAACAGCGGACCCTGCGACTGCGCGGGAATAACACTAGGGAGAAGATGATTCTCATCCTTCATAGTGGTAAGAAGAAGGGGTTTCTTATGCTGAACAGAATTCGAGGCTTGATTATTGTTGGCTTTAGCAGAGTAAAATAGAATAAGCATATCGGGTAGTATGTATTAGGTTGTCCCATAATTATCACTTTACATTTATTGTTATTAAAAAGCCAAGAAAAATGGTGAAGTTTGTTGTTTTTGTTCTTTGTTTGTTCGAGTCCCGTCTGGGGCGAAAGTTTTGTTCACAACCCAGCATTCTTGTGAAAGTCTTTTGAGCGTTTGTATATGGCTGTATGTAGTTTTGATTGCTAATTGCATCGTACTGTTCAGAAGAATCGCGGTCATCTTGTTCCACCTGTTTGCCCTCCACCCACGTACCACGGTGAATGTCATCCCAATTTTATCAGGTGAATCTTTTCAGATGGTTCGGGACTCGTACTATCAAACTATTCTTTCATTATTTCTAAAAAAATGATTTGACAAATGTGTTCATGTTGTAGAATGCTTGTCGTCTTTCTTCAGGAAGGCTCAGTACAGCTTCAGCTGGGATTGGGGACCTGCTATACCAACTGTGGGGATATCGAAGGATATCCAGATTGTTGCTTTCAATGATTATTTCATGGATGACTTCACATGGATCACTGAAAGGACCGAAGGTGATGGTTTTGAATATGTTCTTGTCGCTCAATTTGCGACCTTCTTCATTTTATGTAGTGTTCTCGATGTTTTTTAACCTCGTCTTATTACAATAGAATTCATTTCCGAACCTCCAGCGTTGTCATTTTTTCTGATCCTTTGAGCAAAGTTTCACTTCTCGTGGCCGCCCTTTTTTGACCAGGGCTTTTCCAGCATCTCAGCGCTTAGTAACGAATGTTTCCAAAGTCATGACAAACATCTTTATTTTCCCACTTATTTATTTATATCTTGCGCAAGAGAAATGGTTACTCACCTCGGAGCTTTCTATTCCTGTGTAAAGTAAATTAGTATTGTGAGGATGAACTAGTGCGCCGCGATGCCCTCCCCTCCCTCACCTCTCCTCCTCTACTGCACCAAATTTATCGGAAGCACACTTCACTGTCGGCGATGTTTCAAAGGCAACTTGCTTCTTTCTTTTTCAGACTCGTGGTGGATTCGCGGAGATGTAAGGATTTACTGATGGAAGAGGGCTTGATAGAGCGTCAAGGTAAATTGTGTGACATGACTTTCAAAATTACGAGTGGAAGTTTTGCGTCGAACACGATTCTCAGCAGTCCTTTGCCATTTCAAGATCCGTCGGTATCCCTCGAGAATAAAGTCGAGTATATTAGGTGGCCGAATCGGTGAAGGAAGCACAAAATCTAGGGCAACTCGCTCGCACAGGATTTCAACAAGTTTGGCCCCTGCTTTGAATTTTCGATGAAGTCTAGCACTCCAGCTTTATGTCGAATCACCAGGAAATTATTTTACCTGCCTAACATTACGCAATATTCACCATGCTGTAATCAGCAACACGCACTTCGATATCGGATTCGGCACGTGGAGCTATTACAGATTAGTTGACCAATTCATAATAAGGCAAAAGGGCGACATTTCTACGTGAAAGTGAACGATCGGCCAATTTTCGTGAAAGGTTTTTGTTTTTTTCTCGCATTTTTCATGCCTACATCTTTTAAAACTTGCTCTCTATGCTTGCTTACACTCTAGGATCAAACTGGATACCGATCTCGATGTTCACGTCACAGAATAATACTGATCGTATGGAGTTTTTGCTCGATTCCATGGTTGAGGCTGGTAACTGACTTACATTTTTTGGGCGTATCCTCGTGTCAACAAGTAGTGTTGATCTCCCAATGAATTGCTTCCAATTCATTTCTGAGGCTTGCGCCTGGCAGGAATGTCAGACTCTTCGCGCGATTTTATACAGGACTGTCGCCAATTTGCACATCTGCTCCTGAGGAGGTTCACGATTAGGCTGAAGGTCGAAGAAGGGGAAATTTATGAGATGGGAAGGCAAGCGATTTCCTAAGGGTGCGGACTGACACGCAAATCGCACTGTAGGGTACGCCAACGGGGATCTAACACGGTCGTCTTGGCGACGCTATCGTTCTCTGGTCCGCCCCGATGGTCGAATAAGAAGGCGCGAGTTTGGTATATTCAGATCCGGTATGTCTTAACAGGCCGGTATTCATCGGTGCCTGTAACCGTATATGAGGTGTCATATCGTGTAAAGGGGAGGAGAGCAGCAGGGTGATTTGTTTATCATTCGCTTACACGATGATCGGGGCAGGAAAATTCATATCTCGGGTTCTAATTGTCAATAAACGTAGAATAGTAGAAGTATGTATCAGTGCGACTATTGTCGAAGGTTCGGGCCGGTTTATCATGGTTTTTCTTCATCCCGTTCCCCACTGTCACCTCTTCTTTGACTTTAGTGGGCTGCCTTCTGATAATAAACTCCACCTCTAAAGCAACACCAGAGGTCAAATTGGTGGAAGTAAAGCGGTCGATAAGGAGGATTGAGAAATTGATTGAACTGAAGAAAGCAAAGCAAACCGCCGGTGAAGCCGCATTAAGGGTATCCTCTCATCCTTAGGACCAGACGAGGCAGAGTTTTGCAGAAATGTAATCTTGATGGCACCGACTCCTAGGAATTTTCTCAACATAGCCGATAGCTGGACATTACCTCCGATTATTTTGGACTTAAACGCTGATGCCTTACATCTCGGACACCGTTTATATTCTGAAGATCTATATGGGCACACTTCGGCTTGCTGATGACAGCTCCTCTGTATATAGCTCGAAAACATTATCTAGCTTCTATGTCAAGCTTCTTGTTCTCGCAATTTTTGATTCCTGTTTTATAGGTATGAACATCTTGCGAGTCTGGGGTGGTGGTGTTTACGAGTCGGAAGAGTTCTATACCTATGCTGATTCTAAAGGAATCTTACTGTGGCAGGTATAACTTAATCTGAGCTCCGACCGTGTTGCACTGACTGTGGTCGAAAGATAGAAAGTTGAGTGGTAGCGCGAATATTAATTGATTCTCAGGACTGATGTGTTGCATGTGCTCTCTATCCAACCGATGACAACTTTTTGATAGAATGTTGAAACTGATGCTAGCAGAGGCGTTAGCAGTTGTTGATTGCTAATATTTCCACGGATTCATTTTGTTTTGTTAATTGAGATATGGAGAATAAAGCGCCATCCATCAATTCTGCTGTGGGCTGGAAACAACGAAAACGAAATAGCCATTAGATCACATTGGTGGACTGTCGAAAATTACACAGGTTTATTCTTCAATTAATATCTTTTTCTCTTTTGCAATAACTAACTAGGATAGCGACTTTATGGTTAGACTACCCGCGCTTCGTCTGTGAGCTACAGAATCGAGAGTTTGCTTGTTGAGACCACTTTCTAAGTCGCTATCCTAGATGATTTGCATGTTTTTCTCTTTTGATTTGCGCAGTTATGGGTAGGTGTATTGAACTTGATCATATAACAAGTATTTTAGCGATCTTTTGTTGCAAACATGCAACAGATTACGTGTAACATACATAGTTGTGTTATACGTTTTTACCTTACCTTGCTTTTCTTTATTGTTCGAGAAATTCTGTCGTATTTCAAATCATTAGCCGAAAAATTCATGAAAATCCTTCTAATTAGTTGTTTTAGAAGTGGATCAAGTCAAGGATTACCTAAGTCTTTATAGCGGAGTAGTAAAACCTCTGGTTGAAGATGCTGATCCATCACGAACTTTTCTTCTGTCAAGTCCGAGTAACGGGCAGAAAACTGAGGAGTAAGTTAAGATGAAGCTTAGAAGAATCTTATCTTATTTTCGAAATTAGTCTTACAAATCGGTAAATATTGAAATGTTTTAGTGAAGGAGGTGTGTCATTAAATCCTGCCAATCCGCGCTATGGTGATATTCACTTCTACAACGATTTCATCAATCTTTGGCGAGATAGTTCTTACTTGACACCGCGATGCGCGACAGAGTTCGGAGTCCAAAGTCTTCCATTTTCGTGAGTTAACCCAATAAACATTGAATAAGGTGATCAACGAAGAAATATTAGTGTTGTGCTCTTCTATTTGTGTGCAACGTATAAATGAGACCAGCGTTAATAAGCGTCGAAGATCCTGACCATTGCCCTGTGCTGTATGAGAATAGTGTCAAGAGACGCGCGGAGAGCACAGACGGCTAGCGAGTGGTGAGAGTAAATGTCCCGTGGGAGAGTGTGACTGAAAAGGCGAAGATCTTCGACGCACCGTTGGCGACTCCTCGATCTTAATCCTGATTGAGACAATAGGTCAGATCCAGGACCTGACCTCGGCCGAAATGCAGCACTGCAACAGCTGCTTGAAGTCTCTGGAGGATTGGATTTTTCCACATGTACACAGTATTATTTATACTTTTCAAATTACTAGTTTGCAAGTAAATTAACAGCCCTGCTGGGTTTGTGCCAGGTCACTCCACTGACCATACATACCTGAAAATCCACCCTCTGGAAGCTAGCTGTACCCGTTTTCATTTTTTACAGGCCAGCAAGGATGAAGCAGAAGATCACAAATGAGTTCAAATTCATTGTTTGTATTTTAGAAGTACTATGTTAAAGCATATCGACGATTCTGAGTGGTTCTATTCATCAAAGCAGCTTGTACATCGGCAACACAAACCGGCTGCTATATTGACCAATCTGATGATGGTGTTCAGTCATTTTCCCCGGTAGGTCACTGAGATTTGGCGTCTAAGGACCCCGATGATATGCCTGCGGCGTTGAGGCAGCTGAGGGCCATCGACGACCCCTCCCCTCTGAAATGGGTTGACGGACTACTTGAACCCGGTCCTTTAAGTCGCCTCAGATCCATCTTCTCGTCTGCGCTCTCTCACCTTTATCAGCGGCTCATACCATTGTGATCACACACATTCAACTTTTGCCACACTGCAGTTGGCTCACCAACCTCGAAGTCCTCCGAGCCAGCGGGTTCTCTAAACTGTCTGTTGCTCGCCATTAGTGCAGGGACATCGAGGAAAGTTCAAGTGTCAGTGCCCCTACAATTAAGCTTCGCACGACACCTCAGGGTCTCCGATAGGGGAATGGAGTGCTGGAAAGTGTTGACGAAAAAGAATCGCCTTGGATTTCGATTTCCATTTATAAATGAAATGAAATGTTAGAGGATCACGAAATTAACAGTTTCCCCTTGGTTTTTCACAACCTTCTTCAAACATGACGTTGCACGACGCTCTGAAAAGTTGCAAAGGTATGAGTGATGAGCTTTCAAATAATTGCTGAAAATCCATAGAGAAATCTATTTTCATTGAGGTTGGTCAAAAGTATCGCGTTTTGCACCTTGAGTGTTCTACTACATTTTTTGGTGAATTCTCTTGCAACTGTTCAAATATTCTGGATGCCATCTTGTAGAGAAAGATCAGCCTTTTCATGTCCATACAGAGGTTTGAGCTATTCTAGGAACTTCTGTCGTTTTGCCCTCCCATTTTGAGTTACGCAAAATCGTGATTTCCAAATGTTGGCAGTTCTTGTCTTCAAACTCTGAACAGACACGGCAGGGCCAGTCTGAAATATGGTAACTGCTTTGAGAAGGATGTTCTGATGTACCTTGATGAGACGGGATCGTACAAAGGAGTGAGGGCTTTATCACGATACCGACAGGCGTGGTGGGGCAGGGGATATTGGGCCTCTAGTGGCACCGAACTCGGCTGGGTGCACGCTGTGAGGAAGGAGGAAAAATGTCGTCAACTTATTCATCGAATTGATTCCTGCCGGCACCTTGAATCGTTGAGACGCGCGTGGAGGTGTGTGCTCAGACTCTTCCTTGCAACAGTAAGGAACTGTTTCCAAGATGGGTGATAGCGTAGGGTAAGACTACGCTTCTGCACGCAAACAGTGGAAGGGTTGCTAAATAAGTGGACGAAAATTAAGCTGCCTTTGAATGTTGTCAACATGAACCGCCTCCAGCAACGACTTCACTCAATTTCTGATGGCCTAGCACAATGCAAGATCCGAGAATCGAGTCATTCGACAACGCTGGACAATTTTCGTAAGATAATAGAACATAGAACACTAGGAACTACGGGGATGTTGGTCTGCTTCAAGGAAAAAATGAGGTTCGTCTCCACGGGTATTAACGCAAGACGCTACCGGCGAAAGGTATGCTGTGTAAAATCCATCCAGAAATGGTTTGAAACCTCATCTGCCATCCTTGATATAGCCCAGGTATATCTCTAACAAAACACCAATTCCCCGCTTTTGAACTCAATTCTCGGAGGAGGAATCGCGTTTAGAATTGGGGCATGTCGAAACCGCCTTCCTACATCTTTAGACTTGCTGTAATTTGGACTTTCTACCGGAAGGGTAGATATTAGCATGGATATGATTGACAACAATATGGTGAACATAATAGTTTTTATTCCAAAGGAGAAGGATGTGTTTCAGCAAAGTTGTGGTGTTTCAAAGTTTGGGGCTCAAAACGGCGGATACTTTTTGACTTGACCGATGGCAAAGAGGGATGCTATTCATGTAAAAATTATTCTTTCTTATGTGTTAAAAGGACCGTTCATACAAAATTGTTAGATTGGAGGTTAAGATATGAATGGTATTGGTTTGAAACTGAAATGAGAAAAAATTGTTCGTTTGTTATAGTTTTTCAGGTCTGAAAATATTTCGAAGGCCGTTGCGTGATCTTTTGGGAGGTCAAAGTAGTCGACTCTGGGTAAAATGTTTTTGTGTGGAATGAGAGCTTTCGAGCTAAAGTTATATGAGCTTTCCGAAAAATCTGAACTGAGGGTCGGAGATGGTTTGCGATTCATATCAGTATGGCCTTTCTTAAAGGACGAATTTACGATGGAAAAGCAACCCATTCCAAATTGAGGTAGAGATGGTGAGTAGTACCAGAAAGAAAGCGAAACCACGAAAAACGGCCCAGAACCGGAGAAATGGGACCTTCCTTGTCCGTTGATTTGAGCATTGATGGGACTCTCATCGCTTTGCCCTCTTCAACCCTACGCTCTCTCAGCTATCTAATCACTCGCCACCTATTGTACTACGGCGAGTGATCAGACGATCGGTGGGCGGAGATCGCCGAACTCGCCAACTTTGAGCCATGCTAGATCTCAGAGGTCAAATCTTTCGATGCCGATTGCGTGTCTGTCCGCACCCTCAAGAGATTCACCGCTCTCCCCACTAGGCGATTTCTCCCTTCTTCGACCTTCGTTCTTTCCGTGCAATCCTCCTTAAATTGAGCGGTCCAAAAGTGTTCATGGTTCATTAGGGCCCCTAATTACGAAAACAACAACCATTTTAGTGCTGGCGTCATGGCTTTTTCACCAAATCTGGTGCAAACTTGTGTATGGGCTTATTTGGTGATCTCAAATCTCTTGATATTGTATCTTGACATCCTTGTCGCGCCAGCGCGAAAAACGAGATGTAGAAATGCTATCACTGATGAAGAAAATGAGATTTTTATTGCGTCAGAGGATCAAATAACTCCCATTAGTGAAAGTCAGACCAGTTTTTTTCTGAGACTTTGGGGCAGCAGTCGTGCCAAATTTTCTTTTTACCATCGAACTTTCATTTCGTTGCAATTCCTTGTAATTTACTTTAGTTCGAGAGCATCAGGACTCCTCTAATGCATCCTTTTTGTTCGCACTCAATTGTAATTCAAGGGTATACCCTGATAATCCCTGCCTGAGATGCGCCACGCATCTCTTTCTCGATTCGCGGAAGCATTTGAATGCCCATTCTTCCTTGTGATGGCTTTCGAAAACCGGCTGGCCTGATCCCATTTGCGTTGGGCTAGAAGCCTGGGGCTAAAATGATTGATATAGTTACATGTAAACTCCATCCTCAAAGTGCTCGTCATTCTTCTTGCAGCCAACTTGCTCACTGACGCGTTCCACGAGAGATACAAAACGAAAAGGCCTTGGTTGGACTCGAAAAGCTCTTCTGAGACCTTTGTTCTGTCAAACGGGGTGAGGTTCTCTGCAACGACAGCCTCCCCATATCTCTATCAATGGGAACACTGCCGCGCGTTCCTCCTTTGACCCTTGCTCTCAAGACCTCTTGATGCTGCTTACGACTCCGTTGCACTTCGTTTGCAGTTCGAGTGTGGAGTATAATATATCGCATGAACCGGATTTCGATA